TTATAAAATATCACTCTATGTGACATATTCACTGACTGATATTCAATAATATTTAAATATGATTGGCTTGCCACCTTGCACCATATCTGTGTTTGGCACACTAAGTGCACCACCTATATTAGTGCACTATTGGTATTACCAAGTACTCTGCACTAGCAATCCTAGTTATAAGTGATTTAGATATGGATACGTAAGTTAGTTTTGTATTGGAGTGAACATAATTTCTATTATAAAAAATTCTTACCGATTATTGTAGTGTTACAAGTGATTTAGATATAAATATGTTAGTTTTGTATTGGAATATACGTGATTTTTATATAAAGTGTTTTATTGTAAAAACTCATTTATTGTACTTACTTATTACTGTGATATTACAAGTAATTTAGATATAGATATGTTAATAAATGTAATTTTTATATACAGTAGTTTAATGTAAAAATTTTTACTAACTATTGTAGTGATTTAGATATAGCTATATTGGTTTTGCATTAGAATGAATGTGATTGCAATATATAATGTTTTACTATAAAACATTTTTACAAACTATTGTTGGTATTGCAATTGATTTAGATATGAATATATTAGTTTAGTATTGGAATATATGTGATTTTTATATGAAGTGTTTTACTATAAAAAACTTAGTTATTGTACTTACTTATTACAGTGGTATTATATATAATTTAGATATAAATATATTAGTTTTGTATTGGAATGAACATGATTTCTATATGCAGTAGTTTATTGTAAAAAATTCTTACTGACTATTGTGGTGATTTAGATATAGCTATGTTAGTTTTGCATTGGAATGAATGTGATTTTGATACATAATGGTTTACTATAAAATTCTTATAGTCTAACCTTTCTATAATCACTTTTTATATAATTATACCTCTATATAAGCACCTAATTTTGTTAAACAAATTGTTATAAAAATATAAAAAAACCTCTATATAAGCACAATCTCTTTATAAGCATATTTTTTAAAAAAGTTATTATTATCCTAACTTAGTAATTATAAAGAGGTCTGACTGTACAAACTATTGTTGGTATTGCAAGTGATTTAGATATAGATATGTTAATTTTTATTAAAATAAATGTGATTTTTATATATAGTGTTTTATTGTAAAAAATTCTTACAAACAATTGCAATGTTACAAATAATTTAGATATGGATATGTTTATTTTGTATTAGAATAAATATAATTTCTATACATAGTGTTTTACTGTAAAAAATTTGGTTATTTTATTTATTTACTATAGTAGTACAAGTAATTTAAATATAGTTTTGTATTGAAATGAACGTGATTTCTATATGTAGTGCTTTACTGTAAAAATTCAGTTATTGTACAGTCATCGGCAAAAGTAACATCCAATTTTGATCATGTAATTGATGATTATATAAATATATAATGAATACCTCTTATAATAATTTGTAAAAAAAATTTTTTTTTTTTTATTTTGACTTCTCACAAAGTACTTGCAAAAAAAAAATAATAAGTATAATACAGTTGTCCTTCCATATAATCACCTCCAATATAGTCACAAACTCTATATAATCACATCAAAAATATGATCTCATTTTTTTAATATTAAAAACACCTTTTAAAGTCACAATCATATTATAATTACTATTGCATTTTTTTAGAATTTGTTTGCCGATTTTAATAATAAAATTACTTTTTCACAATCACATTTATATATAACTGTAGATAGTTTCTATATAGAAAGTTACAATTTTAATAATTAAATTAACTTTTATACAATAAGTAAAAGTGTTTGGAAGAATAAAATACACCTACTATTAAATTTTTATGCAAATCGTATAATTTTTTATTAGTATTGTTTCTAAAAAATCACAAATTTTTAGCTATATTTGTAGATATATAAAATGAGAAACAATACTAATAAAAAATTATTTGATTTGCATAAAAATTTAATAGTAAGTGTATTTTATTCTTCTAACCAACTTTATTTTTTATTTTTTATTTTTTTTAGCTCTTTGACAGTTTTGCCAAAGCTTAAATACAATACTTTATTAAACAAATTTGGAAGAAATAAATAATGATAGTATAGAAAATTACAAGCCTAACATCACCTGGCTGCATCTAGTGTGCCCAAAAGCGATATGCCGCACCAACCTACATGTAAGTTAGAAGACCTTGTCAGCCCACCAAGAGCCTATTTTTTCATTCTTACTTTCTTTACCAAGAGCAAAAGAAAATAATATTCCATATTCTCAATACTAAAATATACATCAAGAAGAAAAGGAGTTTATATGCAAAAAAAAACAAAACAAGAAAGAGAAAATAATAAGGAATAAAAATGGAAAAACTGGAAGATGTAAAAAAAGAAAAAACAAAGAGATAAGCCCTGACAGGCTAAGAAAAAGCCATCTCCTGTGGAAAATAGCAACTACCTCTATCAAGAAATAGCATAAAAATAAACAAAAAAAAGAAAAAAGAAAGTGCATTATTATAACCTATGCTAGACAAGTATAAAAATTATATAACAAATACAATATTTGTATATCTATACTGTAAAGCTTCGCCTTAACGTTATTGTTTCTTTCTGACTATATGACCGACTCTGAAATATTTGGTTCTGATCTAATCTGTATCTCGAGCCAGGTGCTGCTACCGTCTGTAGACCTATATCTCAAGCCACTTGCTACCGCCATTAGAACTCAGAACCTGTTCAAATTAGTAGCACCGTATCTATTGAACACGTGGTTGTAATCTACTTGGCTATCCGGGTTTGGAATATAAACACCATCGATCTTTTAGAGAGGGTAAGCCAAATCTCACTTTTTGGAAAAAATTTTTTGAAAAACCAAAGGAAGGCAGAAATGAGAGGAAAGAGTTGCAAGTACTTTCAAAATTTTTTAAACGAGTGTGTTGAAAGAGCAGAGCTTCTTGTTGTTTCCCCTGTGTTCTTCATTGAAGTAACAACCAAACAGCTTCGTCGATGGAGTTGGGCCTCCCCACCCATACTCCACCAAGATTTTTTATACAAGGGCACCGCCTGCCAGTTATCTTGTATAATAACGCTCCTAGCTTGCATGCCGAATGTCTTTCTTTAGAGGAGTCCCCGTAGTAGTAGTTAACCTCTAGACAAACCACTGTATAGGCCATGACTCTCCAACAAGTAGTTTTGGTTTTTCTTTAGCAGAAAATTTTGGTCCAGGTGATCGTCAGGAAGAGTTGTGTTGATTTTAAATATTTTTACTTAAAATATCTAATTTTATTTACTTAGTATATTTTTTCGATATGCTATAGTACTCTAATTATAAATAATCTCTAGTATAAATTATATTTATTTATTTTTTTCTTATAATTTAAAAATAAATATTACTATTTTATAATCTTTATTTTCAAATACAGTATTATTACAGTATATAAAATTTCTTTTAAATATTTTAAATTGTAATAAAAATAGATCAAATATAACAAATTTATCAAATTTGCCCGCTAACTAGTGACGGTTTAAGGGATAATATTAAATTGCAATAGTTATCTGGCTTTTGTAAAATTTATCCAAACTTTAATATCTATTTTATACAGTATACTGTATAAAAACAAAAATAACTCTTTTAAAAAAAAAAAATTAAAATACAGTTTATAATACTGTAAATATATAACCCAAAATATTTTTTTTACAATTTACATATTTGCGTATTTTAAATAATAAATATTGATATATATTAAACAATTTATATATATTAAGTTTATTTTTATTTTAATTCAAAATCTATTATAATATTATACTGTATATAGTTTTCCGATCCTATCTTTGATCCGGATTCTATTAAATCCGGATTGAATCCGTATCAAAGCTAGCTTTGAGCGCATTATGTCCGTTATTTAAATTCTTTGACCAATCAGAGTAAAAATCTTCTAAATTTATCTGGTCAATCCAAATGATCGGATTTAGGATCGGAACACTAATTTTATATTTATTTTTTTATATTAATAATAATAATATTATTAAAATATTAAAAAGGCTATACAAATCATTTTTTTGTCAAAATACATACGTATTTCTTAAACAAATTTAATTTTTTTATAACAATATCTATATATACAGTATTAAAAGTTTATACGTAAAATAATACAGTAGTAACCGATTGGTATATTTAGTAATAATTACTTTTTTTTTTTACGTAAAAAATACCCACTACCATTATCATTAGTTAATCACACACCAGTGATTAACATCCTAGTGACGAATAAATTCGCTCATAATAAAAATATGCAGTATCGTTTGTAATCCTGTCGCGAATGTGTCATAAAGCATATCAATATATATCGATTTGCTTCGCAAAGTCACTACGTTATGTGTGGTTAATCTCGGTATGGAATTTTGCCGAAATTCGCCGGACATTATACAATAAAAATGTAAAATTTGTAATTAAATATTTTCAATGACCTCAATTCACATTATTGTGAATATCGCCAAATGAAGCGTGGAAGTGTTACTGTAAGGGATTTATTTTACTTTCGGAGTTTATTTTTTTTTTTAAAAAAAAATATACAAATTACACATCTTATTGTATTGACGTTCTTTTGAAGTTCATGAGGGTTCATAAGGTAGATTTTACGGAAATTAAATCTACATAAAATGTAACCACTTGACCAGAATTAAATTTATTAATTTGTAATTTTTTTGTGTGAATTGATTGCGCAAGCAAGCAACGTGCAACCGCAAGTATTGTCTTACCCATTACGTTTCATTTTGATAAAAATCAAAGAAACGTGATCATGGTATAACGAATATTTTAAGAATATCATAACCAAAATATGGATAACTAGTGAAATTGAAACACATATCGTGACTAATTATATGCGGGGATTACCATGACTCTTACACGACACCTAGATTTATAAGACGAATGTGTTTGTAATATTGGAATGACTACTGATGATTTCTAATACATTATAATACATACATAATTTATGATATGATCATTGCAAACGAAACCAAAGCAATATCTTGTGACCATAATGACTTCGGAAAGTCGTCATTTAATTACTCGAGAAAAAATGTAAGAGGAATATTCTTATGTGTAACTGGCATTATAAATTTACACAATCGGCATCTATCATGAGCATTTATCATGTACGTACTGTATAAAATAATGATTTTTGTGGCGGCGGTTTCAATAAAAAGAAATGAAATATAAATAAATAAAAAAGAACTGTATAAAAAACCTTATAAGAGGTGTGTGTCAAAATCTGCATAAGTGCTATGTTGTCTTGGTTGGCTGGTCTCCCCCCTGTACTACTTAAAATCACTCCAAAATACAATACTTTCCTGTTTATAGTACTTCCTACTCACCTTTCCTGACTATATGGTATCTCTTCTTTCTTTTTTACTAGAATAGTTTTGCGCATCTCTAGTAAACGTCACAAGACTAATACCCGCGTTCAACCTGTAGCCACGAAGACCGTTTATATCGCTTTTTAGAAAAAAGAATAAAATAAAATTTTGCATTAATGATGCAGACACTGGATTTGGCAAATTTTCCTGTTACAGAAACTCTTAAGATGCTCGCATCACTACTGGAAAAGATTACACATGCAAACGACCATTTAAAGTCAACTCATAATAACATAAACCATTCAGAATCAACGTCTTCTTCCGTGACAGCAACATCCACTCCATCCTTCACGCGTTTTCACGCACGTTCAGTTCCTTCAATAGATATTCATTCATATCTTTCAAGAATATTAAAATATTGTCCTACCACAAATGAATGTTTTCTTTCATTGTTGGTATATTTTGATCGGATGTCAAAGAATGCATCCGCTACTTCTTCGGGGAAAGCCTTTTCTATCGATTCTTTCAACATTCATCGTCTGATAATTGCTGGTATAATGGTTTCCTCCAAGTTTTTCTCTGACGTATTTTTCACAAATTCAAGATATGCAAAGGTATGGTAAGGGTACATCCAGATTCTACAAAGTTTCCAAGATGCACCGCACCATTTTTTTTTCTTTTTGTAGATGTACGATGATGGCGGAGAACTCCCATTGCTTTTTTCTTATCAGGATCTAAAGAAATTTATGTATCCATAAATCTCCCCAAAATTCTTTAATTTTTGTGGATTATTTAACGTCGAATACTCTTTAAATCCGGATGTCCGATCTGCATCCACTGGCAAAATTTTCATGGGAATTCAGTTATTAATCGGTGGACTCGATTATATCGACCCCGTATAACTTTAAATGAAATGATACAGTGACTGTCTCATCACATCATCGTGCTAATTCTATATCGCTTTGCTATTCATTTCAATACTTTTAACATAATTGATTGAATTAATATAATTTTGTCTTATCTTTTTTTTTTTTTTTCTTCTGAATTCCTTTTTGGACGTTTCTTGTATTTTCCCGTCATTAATAGGTGGGAGGATTACCAGTATCGGAATTAAATCAGCTCGAATTGGAATTTCTTGTACTAAACGATTTTCGCTTAGCAATAAGCGTGGAAGAATTACAACGATACGGCGATCAATTACTCAAACATTGGGTGTTGGAAGAGGAAATGAAACAAGGTGGGGGCATATACGATAATATGCGATTTCAAAATAGTTCTGGTAGCCTCAGATGGGATTCAGGACATAACCATGATAAGAATACACAAACTAAACGAACACGACGTTTACACTCTAACGATGACACAAATATAAGCAGAGGTGGTTCAAAAACATTGAAAGATGATGATCAATTGGACAATGGATACTATTTTGGTCGTAGCCATCGTCGAGATAACAGTTTCTCTTCGTCAAAATCATTAAACATCCCATATCAATCCTCTTTAACTTCGTCACCACAACCATATACAACGCATATATCAAAAACTCCTCCTCCTCCATCTTTATGTGGCTCTTCACCTTCATTTGCATCTACCTCAAGTGGTTCACTCCCTATTTCAAGTTCTATAAATGGTTCGCCAATGCACGCACCTTTTGCTTCAAGTAGCATGTTTAGTATCCATCATCCGCATTATCATCATTTACATAAACTATATCCTCATCATACACATCATCAATCACAACATCATCGATCAGTGAGCTTAGGAGGATCGACCATAAAGCGAGCGAATAGCAGCAGCTCTTTATTTAATCGTGCGAGGGATTTATCAGACGATTTACAATATTCAAGACGTTCTTCGCCGAAATCGATTAATCCTGAAGATCATGCTTATCGAACTGCAGCCGCTTCTCCATATTATTCGGCTCCTTCAATACCAACTACTTCAACGACTTCGATGAATAACAATAATAGTAGGGGCGTCCCTCAACCACCGACTTTGGTAACTCCGTCTCCTACGCGGAATATCGGAAATTTCATGAGACGTATGTCACATGACTCGCCTGCAAATACATCACAATATCCACCATCTGCTTATCATTATACCGGATATCCACCTCAATCATCAACACAGTCTTTACCAACTACTCCTGTGACTACATTACCCTCAATACAAGGAATATCTTATCCTTCTATTATAAGTAACGCTGCCCATTCTACTGTTACTGCTGCTTTGAATTATGCTCGCAGAGCTTCTCTTGCTTTACCGCCACTGCCACGTAACCTAAGCGGAATTCCCAATGGCAACGTACCTTCGCCTGTATCAACCGTCGCTCCTGATAACTTGGGTCCTGGGTTAGTTAGACGTGGATCAGTTCCTGCATGGAGTGGAAGCAGTCTTTCTAATGGTAATAATAATAATAATGGGGGTGGTGGTGGTGGTGTTCATTCAGAACCGAGGATTTCTAGTTCTAATTTGGTAATGAGTAATGGATCTTCATCAACGTCAGTGTCTTCAAATCCTGCAGTGATTAATGGGAGGCATGCAAATGGTATAGGAAATATTTTTAATAAATTCACTAAAAGAGGCAGTTGGGTAATTGTTAATCATCCTCAATCGAATACCAATCATGGGCATTATAACCATAACCACCATGCACATCAAATTAATCATCAGCATGGAAAACTTAATAAACACGGTTATTATCACCCGCAAAGTCATGACTACGGCAATGTATCTAGATCATCATCATCTGATTCTAGCCATTCTTCATCGACTACAGGTTCAGGTTCGGCTTCGGATACTTCAGGAGGTTCAGGAATAGAATCGTCGATCCCGGCATCACGGACTACAAAAAACGGAAATGATAATTCGAATATAAATGGTCCGAATAAGACTCTTAAAAATTGATGAATTTTTGATTGAATTAAATATAATTGGTGATGTAATGAAGGTTTTTTTTATTATTTATCAGGTGAAAATAAGCCTACTATTAACCGGTGAAAATGAAATTAAAGTAGGACATTTAATTGAATGGACTTGTTTTAAATCAAGGTGAAAATATTGCACTTTTTGGTGATGAACTTTATTCTCGATTTGTGACAAAGGATTGCATGTTTCGCACTTTTATTGTAGTTTATTTGTTTTTGCTCTTCATATATATATATATATATATATATATCATATGCACCAACATTTACTATTATTATACTATTATCATTCTTATTACTACTATTATTATTACAATATGTGGAATATATTACACAAATTATTACTACATACATGAGTTTATATCTGAATTTTAAATTTTATACACATATATATATATACATAACTCATTTTTTTTTCTTGTATATCTTTTTTATATTATAACCTTTAACCCTTAGTATAAATAGCCTTTTGAAATCTTATTTTTAAAATAACCCTTCGATTTTTCTTTTTGTAATTATTTTTATCATCAATCTTACAAAAATTCTTTTATGTGTTTATATATATATACTATTATATACTATTATATGCTGGTTTTACAAACAAATATAGTGCAAAAATACTTTAAATTTGGATTTATTGTTGCATTATTAAATTTTTCGTGGTATGTCTGTTTTTTTTTTTTTCTATTTGAGTTGGTCCAAGTGTGCTGATTGGGCTTAGTAGAAATTTTTGGCTAAAAATTCTATATTCGTTATCTAGAGAATTTTAATCTTATAATTTAACCACTATAGTGTAAACACAAAAACTCTGACTTGATCATATGGTATCATTGAGGATATATGAGTCACGACCGATGAAAAAAAACTCACATTTTCGATTATAATCGATAAGCGTTAATTCACGTGACTAATTTTGTATACCCGCATTATAGAAATTAACCGTATCGGTATCGGTGGGGTCAATCATTATTATTATTATTATTATAGGATCACTAACGGTTATATAACTTAATGTTGTAAAACCATTATGCGATTTAAATAATTTTTATGAATGTTCTGTAAAATTACTCACAAGCGGTGTAAGTTAACTCGCACTAATGTAGGGCGAGCACTGAGTAATTATATTTTAATTTAGTTAACTTTTATAGATTAGAAACAACTATTGAGGACTGGTGCCTTATATATCTAGATTTAATTTTATATATATATCAGATATATATATTTATATACATATATATATATATATTATATATTATATATATAATATATTTAAAAATAATAAATTAGCACATATCTATTTTATATATTAAAGTATATACTGTATTATATTTTTTTATTAGTATTTTGCTAGTATTTTGTTAGTTTTAATTAAATAAATAAATAATAATACTAACGTTAGGAAAATAGATACTATTTAAGGTCCGAAGGACCAATCTTTATCAACCAATTAAAAATTAAAAAATGATCTATGCTATAAACAACCAACCAAAATCCGGAATTTTTTAACACAAAAACATCGAGTACTCTATTTCTCTATCTTTATTTAATGTTTTTCAACAATAATAATTCGAAATTATCATGATTCGAATCATGAAATTTTAACTCGTGAGTTACTTACAAGTTAATTATGAAGTTAAAATGATTGATAATCTGTATTTGAATTATATTTGCTTTGTGTAACTCGTTATTTGAAGCATGCTTTTGTATAACTCGCAATATGAATTAATTGTCATGATTCGAATTACTCAAATAAAATTCGAATAAACAATTAGGTCGAATGATTTGAGCTTAATTCATAAGTCACTATATAGTATTTAACATACTTGGTATACTATCAATTATAGAACATGTTTTAATGAGTGCTGTTACTTATAAATCAAATAAGTTAACTCACCAAATTTTATATGTAAATTTATGTAAAAATTTTATTTTATTTTATTTTTTTTCACTTTGATAACCTCGCACTAATTTATTTATTTATTTATTATTTTTTTTTCCCTTTGGTAACCTTGCACTAATTTATTAGAAGCTTTGTAATTTACAAATTTAACTATCTAATTTACATATTAGGCCAATACCCAGCTGCTTATAAGTACCCAAGTATGGTTATTGCACTGATGTTTGCCAACTGGCTCCATATATGGTGCTATCTAGTGTTCCTTATGGAACGGTTCGGGTCAGGTTTTTTAAAAAACTCGACCTGAACCGAAAAACCAGGTCAGGTAACAAATAAGATCCGAAACTGAAAAAAACTAGACCCGACCCAAAAAAACCCATACTGAATCCAATTTAGCCAATTAGCATGCATCATTTTATTTCAGGTCAGGTTCAAATAAAGACTTGAAACTGGTTGGGTCAAAAAAATCATAGACCCGAACACGACCCGTGGCTGGGTTCGGGTCAGTTTCAGGTCTTTCGGTTTGGGTCTGCGAAACACTAGTGCTATCTATATTTAAAAGCCCAATATAATGTGATACTCAGCTACTTAAAAATTTTCTAAGAAAAAATAAAAAAATTTTATTTTACTTTAATTTAACTTTGACTACTAGCTAGGTGAAAAAGAGTTTGAAATTTGTAACCAAATTGTTTCTTTTGCTAAATTATAAATCTCTACTACAAGATTTACTAAATATGACCTGCTCTTTTCTTTTTTTCTTCCTATACTTGTCTCCTTCAAGGCCTTTTTTTTTTTACTTGGATGGTTTTCTGTTGGTTGGTTTTCTGCTCGTATATTCACTGCTAACGAACTTTCTGCAACTGGGTCTTCAGCCCATAGGTTCTCTTCTAGAGTATCTATCGAATCCTGAGATCTTTTTCCTCTTTTAATTGCTCTACTTATGCTATTATCTTTTTTTCAAGCTGCAAACCTTTCACATTTTTCTATTTAAATTGCTCTGTAAAAACATTCTTATATAACGTAAAAAAGCACTTCATAGTATTGCCGGCATGATGCTAGCTTCTTGTTTAGTTTCTGAAGCTTAGTAAAATCTGCTTGACAAACCAAACTCTGTATAAGCATCTTTCTCTTATCTAGTTTTGTTTCTGTGAGTTGCCAAAAATCATATTTTTAAAATCTCTTAAGATATATTTAAATCTAGTTTTCTTCTCGAGTGTGGCTTATGCAAGTGCTAGTGCTTGTTTTTCTATTTCTATTTATATCTTTTTATAAACTTCACAACTAATAAGATGATTCAAATCCTCTATCTTGTTTTCTTTATATACAATACAATTAGCTGAGGAGTATATACATGGGCTATACTGATATAGCCTATTCAATATCAGAAGTACTCAGAATAGATCTTTAATTCATTTGACAAGCTTATTACTACTGGCTAGTGATCTATACCTCTAACTTTTAAGTTTTGTTAACCTTTTCCAACATAAAGCCCAAGATAGGTTGTTTTCACATTCTAACTTTTGCAAAGGCTCACAACTTTTCAATAAGTACTATTCACTCTCTACTACTCTTTTTTTGACTTTAAGTATAAAACTTCAAAGTAGGCATTTAATGTTTATATTATATTAAAACTTCACCTAGAGTGGATGTTGCTTGGCCACCTCCAAGTATTATTCAGATAGACAGCTTCTTTTGCTATACAATCTGCTATTTCATTCCACTTTATACCTGTATATACTTTGATTTTTATTAAATTAAAACTAAATGATTTGAACTGAACTACTTCTGTAATTTTATTTTAATCTCTTTACTAAAGTCTCTTTCTTCTAGTGCACTTTTTATTGCCAGAATTGCAGCTATACTGTCAGTTTTTATCTGCATATTAGTGTCTGTATCTACTATTAAAAGTGTACATAATATTGCTACTAGCTTGAGTCTTGCAAAGAATAGCCAGTTATCTATTTTAACTCTGCCTTTAAATATCATGTCTTTTTCGTCTTCTGTAACCTGGACCCAACCAGCTCTCACACTAATTTATTAGAATTTTTGTAATTTACAAAATTAACTATCTAATTTATATATTAGACAAATATCTAGCTACTATAAAAGTGCCCAAGTATAGTTATCGCACTAATATTACTAACAAGCTCCACATATGGTACTACCTGTATTCAAAAACCTGTTATAGCTTGGTACTTAGCTACCTATGTTCGAACTGATTATATCTTGCTTTCTTTCTAGACTTATTTCACCAATATTTAAGCAGAATATATTTTCTTTTACTTTTGTGTAGTGTAAACATATATGCTAATTTACAAAAGAAAGACTTCTTTTAAGAGCTGATTCTTTCTTTCAAACTTATCCTACTTAAAATTTTGGTAATACTTTCTTCCAAACTCAATTTACTTAGATCTTAGCAGATTATACTTCTATATAAGACTAACATATATACCAAAATTATGAAGAAAAATAAATTTAAAGAAAATTTCTAAAGGCTTCTTTATAACTGAAAAAAATAAAAATTATTTTAAAAAAAGAAAACAGAACTCAAAAGAAAAAATGAAACAACAAGAAAAAAAGAAAGGAAAACTTAAACCGATTCTAATATAAATGAAAATAGATAAAACAAGCAGAAAAAAAAAATTAAATGATCCAATACACTATTATAATCTGTGCCAGGTAATTTAAAAATTATATACCAGGTACAACATCTGTATATCTTTGTTGTAAGACTAACTTAACCTTAAAATTTTCTCTAACTCATTTCTGAATTTTTTTAATAATCTAGTCTATATCTCAAGCCAAGTGCTGTTGCTATACTAGAATCTAACTCTCTATATATAGGGCCAACAATGACAAAGATTGTGATATTTCTATAAAGGTGCTATCACTTCAGTACTTGTGTTTTAAGCCACTTGCTGCTACCACCAGGAATTTTTTTTTGATTGGAACTCATTTCAGGGCTTGTGCAATGTATTTGTTTTTAAACACATGGTTGCTATCTACCAGTTCATCCAGATTTAGTAAATAAACAATGCCAATTTTTTGAAGGGGGTAAGCCAAATTCTCACTTTTTATAAAAA